CATTGCTAAAGACTTCATTTGGACAACTTTAAAGGCGATTTTCTCAATATTTAGCACCCTCAGATTCCAGATTTTCAAATGGTTGTATCTCGGACAAATATTCTCCTATCCTAACAAACCATGCATCAATGGAAAGCTTATCAGCTTTCATATGATGTATACATATCAATTTTGAAAAATTGACACTTAAGACTGGTTTTGTTGTCCAGGGTCACAAATGTAGTCAATATTTAGATAATTGCATGCAAATAATAGTCTAAATAATAGCATATCATAACTATTAATTTTAGTCTAAAATGGCATTTGATTTTAGTCAACAAAAATAACATTTCAATTGATGAAAAATTTAGTGCAGAATTAAACCAAATGTTCAGACAATATTTATATTAATTTAAAATATTTGAATATTTTAGCTGATAGCTACAAACTTGCCTATATTAACCAGCCAAATCTTAACCGCTCAATGGGTCATGGGTTGGCTAGTTAGCAATGGGCCAGTGGTTCCCTGCTGATCGATTTATTTTAGGTCCTTTAACCTCTCATTTTATTATAAATTTGAATGCTTTGAAAACTGTTATGATACGTATCATGCGTCTCAGAATTATTCAAACATTACAGTGTCACATAATCCTGTAATCACACACCCATCACTGTTAGAAGTCCGTTAACGAAGAAAAGCAAACGGTTAAACCATTTCACTTAAGCAATGGAACATAAACCTCACAAATACTCCCTATCCAACTGGATCCCTAGGAGCCGGTGAGTTGAATAGTTTTCATGTTTCAAAATGCATTGTACAGCGCTTCCCAACACCTCAATAACTGTGCAATCTTGCAAACTGCATCCAAAACGATTCTCTACGGATGGCGTTTCTTCTCGTAAATCCATTCAATCAGTAAAGCTTTTAGCTACTGTCTTTATAGAATACTAATGAAACTCAACTTATCATATAAATAAGAAACACAATGGCGACAAATCATAGGTGTTTGTCTATACATCAGCGCACCGCAACAATCCACTCGCAGGTCTAGACGTTAGAAACATCACACTGCGTGTTTTGTTGCTGCATAATCACCTCCTTCTTCAGCTCTTACTGCTCGGAAAGTGCTTGGTGCTTCTGCAAGCTAATAAATATTTTGTTATGAAGCAAAAAGTTCAGGAACTTGGTAAAATAATCATTGGCGTGCTGCAAAAAAGTGAATGATGCCTGTCTCATGAAAATACATGAACCCATCACGTCTCTTCCCCCAAGGATAAACTCGTCTTGTAGTGCCTGGGAGAATTGATGGTTTTCAAGCTGCCTTAGCCACATAAATCCTGTCTGACATTCATAATTTATTATTTAAAACCTAGCAGTTACAATTACAGCCTGGATAATGCTGCTCTAAAAGTCTGCGTTCCTTCCTCAAAGCTGTTGAAATGAGGTAGATGTTAGCAGCCACCGGTGTTGGGGAAAATATTTTAAACTCCAACATCCCAGGCTAGTCATACTTTAAAGAACTTAGACTACAGTCAAACTACCCAAAAAGTAGTTCTATGTATGTACTATAATGTGTACTATAAGCTCCTAAAGAAACTTTGCTGGCTACAAAGAAGCTATTTAAGGGAGATGAATTCAAACTTTATTTCTTCTGTGAAACAAAAGATTAGATATTTTGACATTAAGTCTTTTCTTTTGCTGTGTGTGAGGAACAGACTGAACTTTTCATTTTCCATCAATAATCTTCGCCTCAGTGAGCTGTTAACTCAAGAACTGCTGTGACTGGAATGAGTCAGTGAATTAAACTCTGATTCAAATTAAATGAATCATCCAGTCCATTTTGTGAACTGCATCCGCTGGTTAATTTAAAAGAATTATTCATTCACTGATCCTGTTTCAACTATTATATGGCTTCAACTTCAACTTCATATATAGCACATTTAAATGCAACTTTGTTGCCCAAAGTGCTTCACAAAATTAAGGATAAAAATAAAATAAAATACACATATCTTACACACAAATAATCAAACATTTAAACAAACATTTATAAAAGGTTCCCAAGTCAAATTTTCTCTACTTCAAAGGCCAGACTAAAAAAATGTGTCTAGACCTAAAAACCTCTATAGACGGAGCCTGCCAAATATACAGGGGAAGGCCGTTCCATAATTGTGGACCTACTACTGAAATGGCGCGGTCACCTTTTGACTTCTTTTTGGACCGAGGGACAGTTAGCAACGACTGATTTACAGATCTAAGTGACCTAGCCGGTGTGTGAGACTCTAAGAGATCGCTAATATAATTTGGGGGCAAGTTGTGTAAAGCTTTAAAAACCAATAATAAAATCTTAAAATCAATCCTATACCTGACTGGTAGCCAGTGGGGAGACGATAGCACCGGAGTGATGTGTTTCCTTTTTTTTGTGCCAGTCAGAAGCCTAGCTGCAGCATTCTGCACAAGCTGCAATCGAGATCCCTACATAAAGTGAGTTACAGTAATCCAGTCGCAAAGTGATAAAAGCATGAATAACAATCTCCAAATCTTTAAAACTCAGAAAAGGTTTTAGCTTAGAAATAATTCTAAGCAGATAAAAACTGCTTCTTACAACCGAATTAATCTGTTTATCAAAACTGAGAGATTAATCAATTATAAAGCCAAGGTTTCTCACACTGTCTTTCACTGTCATTTCTAAGGGGGCAAGAGTGTTGGCTATCTTCTCTTTAGCCTTAGAAGGACCAAATATTATGATCTCATAATATTTTTTTTTTCATTTAGCTGAAGAAAATTATTTGAGAGCCAACCTTTAACCTCATCTAGACATTGCAAAAGGGACTGTAAAGATTGCTCATTTCCAACCTTAAGTGTAAGATAAATCTGTGTG